CGCGTTTCGCAACCTAACCGTCATGCCCCGTGCTCAGCGTTTCCTGCCATTCACCACAAAAATACAGCCACGCCTACAGCAACATAAATTATAGTCTTTAGAGAGGACGCCGCATCAGCCCTTGCTGGTGTACATGCGGGCCCTCTGTCCTGATCTGGCAGACTGGCATAGATCCAATGAGAGTGCCTAATGTATGATATATGTACATCGAACCCTGCATTGACAGTTGCATCAAAATGTTAGTATAGTTCAACTGCCGATTAAGGAAAAAAAAAAAAAAAAAAAAAGACAGGTTTGCGACTGCAACTTGTTTTGGTTCTTTGTGGTCCTTTCTGCCATGTTTACTCCTAAGAGTGCACTACATTATCTATTACTTTCCAGTTTCTTTTTTTTTTAGTTAAAGAAGTTTGACTCTTCCTTGAATTTTGAATCAGTAGTTCCTAAGAGCTTCAAGTTCTCCTGAGATTTCACTGGAATTTCTCGGTGTCTCGGTGATACGCAGGGAGGACTTCGCCTAGCAAAACTACTTCTGTCGGGAAGTATCAAGTTCTAATGTGCGCAGAGCAAACCGGCCATCGATGTTTAACTGATGCGGAAAACCATACATTTTACATGTACAGGTGAAGGGAAAAGCAGCATTCACTCTCAAAGTACATGAACACAAATTTAACCAGTTACTGACATGAGGCTTGGTGTCCGTAGAGTTCGTTGAATAAGCTAAATCATTTTGAACTCAAACAATAATTTTGCGGATTTTTATTTTTTTTTTTGGCCTTTCTAGGCCACTGTCTGGACACGACAGCCCAGCTACATTTCTTATGACAACTCTGGAATATTTTATTTCAATGTTATTGTTTTGTTTTTGTTTTTGTTTTTTCTTCTTCTTCTTCTTGTTCATCCTCAGTTTGTTTAGCAAAGTACTTCTTCTTTTCTGTCGGATCAGGTATAATTGTCTCTTTACCAGGCTTCCACCCAGCCGGACAAACTTCACCATGCTTGTCAGTATATTGAAAAGCCTGAACTAAACGAAGAGTCTCATCAACTGATCGGCCCACCTGCAAACAGAAGCGAGTGGAAATGTTTTAGTAAGCATTTTTGCCTTCATAAGATCATTGTTCCTTTTGCCATTGTTTACATTTTGCCTAACAGAACAAGTCACTTTGCATAGAGAAGGCATCACGCTAGACACAGATTGTCTTTTTAAACCATTTACAGAGTTACTGTACGTGTAGTGATACTGAAAGGGATATTAGCTTTCCTGAACTGCAAAGGTTCTTGAAGGCAAAAGCACTCAGCCCTTGCATTCTTTGTAATATTCTACACACAAAAAGTACTTTTTATACAAACGGGGCTCCAAATCCTATAGACAGTTGATCATGCCATGCTCTTTCAATAGTCAGAACTGATGTTTGTGTAGGTGCAAGTGAAGCATTTGTGCTTATGGGGTAACTCTTTCATAAATGGATTCCTCCACAGCATATAAACTACTTGAAGTCACTGCCTAAGGTGGATACCAAGCTCCATCCAAAGCAAGCCTTGACAGAAATGTAGTAAACCTCATTATCACACATTAATGGGCTATATACGGTAAGTGTACACCAATGACTACTTACCGGTAGGTCATTCATAGTAATTTGACGTAGAGTACCTTTGTCATCGATAATAAATAGACCTCTGAAAGACAATTATAGAACAATAGTATTTGGATTGAGAAATAAAGATGTTGTTGCTGTTATTATTGATGTATATAGCTTCTAGACAATTTTAGTGAAAACTGAATGGGGCATTTTAGAAGCAGAAAAATATTTAAATCCTAAATTCTTTTGCATTGCCCAGAAAGGGTCGCTACAACTGGTCAAAAAGTCTCCAGCAATGAATCAGTAGCAATAACTACAATAGCATTCACATCACTGCATGGCTTGTAAAAATATACCAGCAACACTACACAATGCAACTGTTTACAATTTCAGCATAATTATAGTATGCCCACAGTACACAAGTTTTGACCATGATGTGAGTAATGCACTGGCCCTGACGTGACATGTTCTCGAGTGTACTCATAGTTGAACTTAGCCAGTACATGAGATGTTTTTACCATAACTGCAGAAATCATTGCATGCCCATTGGCTTATTTTCATTGTCAATAAGCGGCCAGACATAATGAAATTCATGCATTTTGACAATTGTGACAACCCTGACTTTCCACATCAATGAGGATTAAAGTAAGTAAAAATGAACAAATGACAAAATATATTCACAGAAAGTATACTCAAGCCATGCAATAAAAACAGATCTCCTCACCTTAAGGTATGCCCTTCATTTTCAAGAAGTACTCCATAATCTTTAGCAATCTGGTGATTTAAGTCTGATAACAGGGGATACTTGAGCCTTCCTAGACCACCTTCTTTCCTTGGGGTGTTGATCCTAGAGTTGGAAGGAGTCAAGGAGCATTTTGATATCACCAGCGTAACTAATAAGATAATGTACAATGGAATTCTGTTGTTTTCCAAATGTACTTACCAAGCTAAATGAGTAAAAACTGAATCTACCGAGCAGCCAACCACTTCTGTGTTAATTGCACGGAACTCTTCAATTCTGTCACTGAAGGCAATGATCTCCGTTGGACAAACAAAAGTACTGCAGAACACAGAAAGACGAAAGTGAGTTTACAAATGGTATGGTTACTGTAGAAACATGTAAGTGTAATCTTTTGGAGCTGAGTTGATCAACAGTTAGAGCGTGTACATACTTCCACATTTTATTCAACCTCCTATCAGAAGTTGGTTTCTCAGCATCAAAAAATTATTAGGAGTAGCCTTTCACTGCATGAAGCACCCAAGAGTACTGCTATCTCCCCTTCCCCCGGATGGGATGAATGTTCTTCGCATATCACTCCCACATATTTCATCAGGCTTGGGTTGTTTGAAAGGTGGATATCTATCTAGTGGATACGCTGGTTTGTTTTCTTAACACTTATCCATTGGATAGCGATTTATTTGGTGGATAGCATTATCAAGCCTATGAAGAATCTGGTTGTTTTCCAAACAGTTAACAATTCTCATTTAAATTTCCAATTCAAGGTGGAGAAGCAAGTTAGTAAGTGAAGCGTCTTGTAATGCCCAAGAACTCAACATGACAACCCAGTCTTGAGTTAGTGGCACACCAACCAGTATGCCACTGGCTGTAACTCATGATGGCTACTCCTTATGATTAATTCAACTTCCTATCTATAAAACTAAAATTGCCAAAGCAGCCCTTTAAAAATGCAGTGGCAGCCGTCAATTTTGCCACCTACATTAACTTATTTGCCACCCACTTCACACAGGAGTTAACTTATCCTGACCAATAACAAAACCATCTTCAGTCTACTATCCTGTGCACTACTCCAAAACATTTTGACTGCATGGGCTAGAATACTGGAAACCAGAGACAAAGTCTACACACTACAAAGAACACTTACAAGTCAAGAGGATAGAAAAAGAACACAAGATATTTCCCTGTAATAGAACAAATAGAGACATGAAATCAGTTAAACTTGTATGATTAAAAGAAAAATAGAGTTGGAAAAATAGTCACTTTCAATGACAAAAATTACATAGTTGATTACATAGTGGCATTCCCCACAGGAGTGAAAGGGTTAATTTCTCACAACTATTAAACATTAATGTCTCCCTAAAACAATATGCTGCAAAATGTCTTCTTACACTGAACACAACAGAAAACTTTTTATTACAATCTTTGTTATCATGGAACAGATCATTTGTGAATGGTCCAGGCAGAGATCTTAGCTTTAATTAATGAAAATAAATTGATTTTGTTTATGTTTGTCACCTTTTGTTGCTACCTCACCTTTAAAATCTGTTATCTTCAGGTCTTTAAACTCTCCATTTACTACAGCTGTTCCTTCCCAATGTGGTGCTGGCTTGGAGACTGTTCAGAGAGTGTTCAATTACCATTAGATCTTACTGTAGTTTTACTTAATTTCTGTTTCTAATAATTATTAAAATAGACATTCTTGTAATCTTGATTACTGCTAACAGGGTCTGAAATTAACTTTTTAAGGCAGGCGCCAACTGGCAACTGAAATTTTTTTTTTCAGTCACCATATGGAAAAATGTGGTCGCCAAAAAGTGTCAATAAAATTTTTCCTTCCCAGTGAAACAGAAACCAAAATTTTTGGGCGCCATGGGCTTGCTGGCAAAATATTTGCAATTGATGTAATCAGGANCAGTCATTCTAATATACACCGTACATTGTGTACACTCACAAATGCTGAGGTCAGGTACAGTAAAAAGTTTAACTGTTTTGGCCCCAGCTGCTGCTTCAGTCGAAGTGCAGTAAGACTATATTTTCCTCTACCATTTTCAAGATAGCTGAAGATAAATCCACAGTTTGTCTTGACGGCACACAGTGCTTAAAAGCGAAACGTATATGTACTTCTACGCTTCCCGACTTTCTGGATCTTGCAATCAAGGAATTGATAAGAAGTCTTCGATGATTTAGCCACAAGTTATCGCGTTCTGTTTGATTTTGGGTTGATCTACCATCAAAGTGTAATCTACATCGCGTCTAACTCCGAAACAAGGCCGAGCGTTTGGCCAACCAAAAACACAAACAATAGGTTTTGGGTCTAAATATATTCAGCGCCATGCGTTCCGATTCATTGGTTTGCAAATAAAAGCGAACATCAACACTCGACAGTAAGCTGTGATTGTTAAGTACTTCTTAAAAACGGAATAAACAAAAAAATGTTGGCTTTGAAATCTTTGTCTTTGCAATTTCCTACTTTCCAAGACACAAATCAGCGAATTGAAGGCAAGATCGAACAATCTGCACCGCAACTAATCTTCCGGCCTGATTATCTTCAACCTGCAGGTAGGATTTCCGAAAACAAAATATTGCGTTCTAAACGATAGTGACAGGGAATTTAGGAATTGTTTTAATTTGTATGAACATATGTGGTAATATGCACGTTTTCAAAAAAATCTTTAACCAGACCAAACTGATCTTACTTTGGGCTTTGCTCCAGTGAACTGCATGCTCTGAAATCGTTGTTTTTTCTGGATAAACTTGGCCACCAGCATATCGTCTACAACTTTCCTCTTCATCTACCTTATTGGCAAAACTGGAAACAGACATAAAAGCCACGAGAAATAATAAAACAGCACCGACCATTGTTGCCATCTTGACTTGTAAAAGAAACGAAAGATATAGCGCCTGCGCAATACTGTGGGGCATTCCCTAACGTGGACCAATCAATTTTGATTATAGAGCGCGAGTAAATTGACGCGAAAATGAACATCCGTTCGTTCGAATTTGGCTTGCATTGCTTAGCTTGCCAATCAACTGAGATTTGAAGTCTACAGAAGTTATATTCTTCTGACTAGACCCAATAATTTTGTTAGAACGAACTTAACTTCCGTCAGAAGCTACGGGAGATAAATCAGAGCTCGTTATTTCCCGACTATAGGTAAAGTCTACCTCAGGCTTAGGCCGCTTAGATAGTTACCCATGTTCACAGCCGGAGCTTATCCCAGTTTCTGTAGCGAAGCGACTAGGCGTATTTCTACTCCCTTCAGGATGTGATGCTAGTCCATCGCAGGCAACTCCCAGAATTAAATTCGTCGGTACTATACACCTGAGTGGAGAGAGGCACTGCGAGAGCAAAGTTAGACTCTCTAAAAGTCCTTCCGATAATTCCACCTTGGCCGTTGGCTAGCTAGAAGATTGCCCTCTTGCTTCGTTCGAGCAAGAAGAATAAGCGAAGGATTTTATAAGCAAAGGTCGACTTGTCAGGAAAGTCTAGAGTAAAGTGTCTTGCCCTAGGCTGTTCCAGGCTCTCGGTCAGGGGACGAACGGAAAAAAAGGACGAGAGAAAAAATGAAGGAGAACAGGCTAGTCTTGCCCAAGAACACAACGCAATGACCATGTATGGCGTCCAGCATGCTGGTCATCAGTGTACTGCGCCTCCGCACTCGGACTATGTTCGGACACAAATTTCTTCTTTTTCGGCAAACGGCTGAAAAAACCGGGTCTGCCTACCATTTGTGGTCACGCGAGTGCACTTAAGACGTGATTGTTTATTAAAAAAACTGTTGTTGTATTTGTAAGCAAGTGAAACAATTACTTAATTATCAACTTAAAATGAACAGAGATTTATTTATCCTGACGAAGCGTTTACCCTGACAACGCTACGACTTTTATTTTCAAGCTGATAATTAACTACTGTTTCTTATTCGATATTAAGCGCAAGAAAACAACTTACTTCGTGTCATGCTCCATCTCTTCTTCCGATAACAACTGAGATATTTTTTTTACTTTTTTTTCCTTTTGCGTGGTCCGCAGTTTTATGTGGGTGTGGTTTTCAGCTGAAGCCATTTGACATGCAGCTATTTGTCAGTTTCAGTAGAACAGTGATACGCAAAAAAGGATACGTCAGCTGTTAGAGGGATGTTGGAGAGATTCTAAATTATGTTCAACTTAGTTCTCACTGCATAAGAAATATATTGCAAATAATTTTGTATGTTAGGTAGTTTTAAGAAAAATGTCGTAAGTTATGAATCTTTAATTTATGAAATAGAAGTTTTGAAATAGTTACTTTATCCAATTTAATGGTGTCGTTTGCGCTAGAACGACCAGATACTTTAAGCTACTTTAGTAAAGGATATGTGTACAAATATCAGTTTTCGGTCTATATTTCATCACCAGGGCTAAAAGAAAAGCGGCGAAGATAGTTGGAACAAAGGTTTCACACACTTCAGCACGTGACTTGAGGGGGCCGACATGTGACACTCGATACATCAGCTATTGTAGCTATTTTTAAAAAGATATAAAATTGATAGTTTACCTATCAACTTCATGGATTAAATATTACAAGGTCTTCCAAACATTTCTTTCCTGCTGCACCACGGCACGATCTCAGGGCTACCGAAGGATTCGGTTTTGGTATGTGGACAATTTTTTCCTCTTTTCTCTTCGTGCGCGTCACGTTTTCTCCCTCGGGTCATTAACGAAGAGCTAATTATTTGCGCGAGCGATTTTGTCCATTGTGATTTAAATGACGCAGAAATTCACTTAGGGCGGCATTGAGCAATGATTAAACTTTTATTTATACGTTTGTTTGACATCTTAAGTACCATGTTTGCCTTGCGTGTACTCGGTGTGGAGTGAAGCGCTCAAGTTTAAGAGGGGCTGATGACGAAGATTGCTGACCTGTTGAACTATAAATATCGGTCATGCAATACAAGCTAATACAGCAACAACAGAAAAACGGAAAGATGACTGAACACATTGTTTTGACATAGTAGCTTTGCAGTTGCCATGAACTCACGCTCTGTCGATGATCCAGAATGGCTATTTGTCAGTGGAACTTCAAACACTTGGAAGTTGTGGGCACCAGTTACGCTTCTCCGACAGAATGGGCTACGATTCGTGGCCGAATTCCTCAACTGAAAGTAGAGAGGCGTAAACCAGCTATCGATGGCAGGAAGGATTCTCAAACTGCGGAGCCAAGGACACCGGCGCGTTCCTCTGCGAAACGGCAAAGTCTCTTGCACGTTAAGCCGCCTAAAGAAAAAGTTGTCACAGTCAAGGTGGTATTGCCTAAGGAGAAGCCCAAAGTTCTTGAAAGAAATTACTTATGTACTTGCGAGCGAGAACGGAGCGTTTCCGGCGCTCCGAAAGACGATTCTGGAGACGTGGAAGAAATCGAGTTTAATGAACTCATGAAGGTTTTTCTGAAATGCTTTGAAGGTCCCAGAAAGGAATCATCAAAGGCATTAAGAAATGTAGCAAAAGGCTTTCAAGGGAGCAGAATTTTATCAAGCGATGAAGCAGTACAGGTATGTTTCACGGGAAACGGAGAGTATTCAGAAAGAAGCCGATTTAATCCTTTCGTGAATTTGCACGCAATTTACCTTCAGACATTTGCCTGATAATGTATAAATTGGGGTCAATAATCGTGCAAGTTCATAATTCTGTTGCCTTTAACGCGTTTAAGCTAAACAAATATTTTCTCAAGCCATCGTTAGTTCATCAATGTACGCAAACAGGCCCGGCCAAGGACTCCCTAGCGACTGCCAGCTTGTATTGTAGCCTATAATTATTTCACGATTTTTGTTGTTTGATTTTGTTTTCTCTTTCTTGTGGTTAATAAGCGCGTGACAGTAAGCTAAGCGTGTTAAATCTGATCGGGTAACTTTGCTTTTGTATCATGATTGAAAAGGTAACTCCAGTTGTTAGATTGAAGAACGGAGGTCAACTTTGGAATCTGCAAATATCGATACGGGACGCAGATAACATGTGGTTTATGAAGCCTGATAAATGATAAGTTCATCCCTTTGTATTTCCGCCGCTTACCCACTGAACAACTGTAATTAAGTCTCCAACAAAACCAAAGTAACGCTCCAGTTAACCCCCTACAATTTATTAATGTCCCTTAGTGAGTCTTGTCAAAAACTGGCGGAACCCTGAAGGACTGAAGGGTCGTCAAATTTCGCTGAACTGTGTAACTGCGGTCCGCGGTTCAAATTTAGGAAATTCATGAGAGTTTAATATGAAGCGACAAGTCTACGACTGTTAATTTTAACACTTCAAAAACTATTTAACGATAATTGCTATTTAGCAAATTCATTTTATGAGGCCACACACGGGTCGCTGAGTTGGCTTTGCAATTGTTTTTCATTGTAATTATTTCTTGGTCATTAACTTACATCTCCCGCTTTTCTCACTGTCAGGTCTTAAAGTTGCTCGACATGGATAATTATGGACTTAGGGTGAGTATACGGCGGGGGTGCTAGGATTTCTTGGGCATTCATCACCGCCTAACTTAGCTAAGAGCTGTTCTGAACATTAGTAAGGCACCTCGTTAATCGGGAAAGATGCTGCTAATGATCTAACAGTCAATTAGCCACTACTTTAGCCACCACTTTAGATAACAGTTGTTAGCTTTGTTTTTCTGCTCACAATACTTACTTTACCCAATGTGACGTCACTGTGGACCATTAACATAATTAAAAGGCTCAAGGAAATTGCCTGGACATGATGGCAATGGGCTCACTAAACTTGACAGTGTCTTTGTTCATAAGCTAAATTTCCATTGTAAAATGACAACAAGGAGCACACGTTTTTTAAAAAAGATATTTAGGAATAAAGACTAGTTATGGAAAACAGCGATATCTAAGCCCGTCATTCTTGTACGGATCTTAGCTAACTACTGGGGTTTTGACTGAAAGAGCAGTTCATCTATTTTCTCCCAAGTTCCCTTAACCCTTATTTTTGTTCTGTGAAAATTTATTTTGATAACGATGCCGAGACTAAAAATGGCCAAAAACGACTGAACGCTCGCATGCTGAGGGCTTACGGCTGAAACTTGGCCATCTAAGTCTTTGTTATCTTAATGGTCTTTCTACTAACAGTTGAGATCTTAATGGACTTTCTAATAACAGTTGAGATAATGAAGAATTTTGGTCTAATAGAGATTAGAGGGAAAACAGAAGAACGATAGCAAAGTAGACCACATGGTGAAAGGAGAAATAGGCGCCAAACAACAATAATATAAACTATGTGATAATACCAACGAATACAACAACAAACATTGTTCTTTAGAAAGGAAATTTCATAATCAGTTGTGCTATAAGCTGACGAAACTGTTTCCCAGTGCACATTACAATTTTAAAACCGGGTACAAACTTGTTTTTAAGAATCCTTTCCGGTATGAGTTTGATCAGTTGGCTAATTGGGGGTAAGCTGCTTTTTAGTCGAAGAGTTCTGAAATGCTACATCATCGATTACAGCTTCTGCCTGTCCCTGCCATCGCTACTATTGGCAGAACTAAGAGCAGTCTTCTTGAACCTCATCTCGCGATAAGAGAACATCAGGAGAACACTAGTAAGAAAAGTGCTTGCGTGGGCCTTTTAGGTAGCTTGAGTTTCGGCGCGCATATTCCCACGCACTTCACGCTTGTGTTTCGCTTCTGTGCTTAGAGTGCGTACTCAACGGTTTAATTATTTTCTCTCATAGGAGAGTGTGCTCTTGACGATAGGTCAACTGTGCACCAGTACCTTGAATGTCAAAAAATTCTTGAAGAGGGGACTGCTTGATGAGTTGATCAATCTCCTGTTACTAGCTGAAGACGACAACATAGAGAAAGAGGCGCTTCTGTGTCTTAGCAAGGTTAGTGTGTCCTCTATCACACTCACGCACCAAAGTCGCTTGGGTCTGTCTTGCAAAACATACACGATCAACTTGGTGTAAATCTTGAACAATAGGCTATTTCCGAGTTACCTTGTGCCTCTGAGGTTTCAAAAAGAGCTCTCGTTCAATGTGGCTATAAGTTTGATTTACATGGAAATGAATCTATATAGGCGGAACCCATTTTCACATGAATGCTTTCGGCGCGAATTAACAAATTGGCGTCAGTTTTTCCTGCAGCTGCCATCGCCTTGTGGATCCACAGCTACTTTGACAATGTTATGACGAAATTCATGATCAATAACAGGACAGACTCGTGAAAAACTGACGTCAATTTGTTTTTTCATAATAAATTTTCAATTCATTTGTCTGTCCTCTTACTGACAATGAAAATTAGCCAATGAGCGTGCGGTCATTTCTGCAGTAAATGTAAAAGACTCGTTTTGACACAGAGTTCCAGTAGGATGGAAAGTCGAAGGCAGGGCCTTCTCGTCGCTGGTAAAATTCAGGCTGTGAAATTCACGTTCTCTTTCTCCTCACAGGTGGTCGAGAAGACAGAGCATGCAGATCTCTGGTTGGAAGCAATGACTCTATCCGGAACAGAGGCGCTGTTTGGTTTGCTGAAAGCGTCAAATCCGGCTTTGCAACAAACGGTGCTTTGCGCTATCAAGAATCTTGCTGCACATCCCAAGATGGCTCGGCTGTTCATTGATTACAGACTCGAAAGTGTTACACAGTTATTATCGTGCAAGGTAGAAAGTTGCTGGGGGGGGAGGTAAATTCTTTGCCCATCTTAGGGGTAGAGAGAGGCGGATGGTTTACCGATGTTGTTGATAAATCCCAAGAGTGTTGTTTCCTCTATTAGACTATTTGGCAGTCCATCTGCATGCAGATGACCTCCTCGCATTTTGTCAGGCTGTCTTAACTCTTCGGCTACCTGCACTCATTTACACCCTTGGTAGGGAGCGGCACTGGTAGCCTTGAGGACTTGAAGGGGCTAGATATAGTCACTCAACGATAATAAAACTGATTATATGACTGAGAAAATTGTTTCATTGTGATTGGCTGTGAACAGGCCAATTTATCGTTAATTCTAATTTGCACTGTAGCGCAAATTTACGCGGGTGCGTTCGCAATTTTCTCAGCCATATAATAAATAAGTAATCGTTCGAAAGCTCGAGCAGTTAAGGATTTACACTTCTGGTGATATTTGGAAATTCTTTCAAATTTTGAGAGAATCACAAATATCACTCCTTAGTGTAAACCAGTTTCTAGAATACCTTCCAACGTATTCAACACTTTTGTGCATTTTTTTACGTAGAATGCTCAAGGAAGGTCCACTGGGAATCCAGAGATACAGGTAAGTTCAGCGTAAAATCCAAAGTGTCAATGAAAGCTTCAGAAAACAAGTTCCTCATTTCGTTGTGTTCTCTTCTCTCAGGGCCTGGTTACCCAAGCTTTGACAAACATAATTTCCCATGATTCATCCACGGTCGAGATGTTTCTTTCTAAGTATGATGACGTCATCAAGAATGTTCTAGATCTTTTGCAGTACGGTCCTTGGTAAGGTGTAGTTGTTTCTTGCATCCCTTTTGTAATATAAGTTCCTTAGCACAAGCAGTAAAGTAATGGTACTGCCCCAAAGCTTCCCACAAGTCTTGTAATATATAAAACACAAAAGACCGTGTTTGACCAAAATTCCAAACACCGAGAAGAGAGTTGGAGTATCGGAGTATTTTTGACGAACTTCACAGAGGTGTTTGGAAATGTGGTCAAACAGTGTCTTGAGTGTTTGATAGATCTTCTCAATTGAAACTGAAGCTAAGGAGAAATGAAATCGTAAAAAGTCTATGCTCATTTACGATCAGATATCCAAACACAACCACGTTCATGATTTTCTTTGTTTAAACTTGATAAATGATTAACGAGTTTGAGAAGTGTTTATCACGATTTTGCCCGGGGTCCTGGATAGTCGTCTATTTCGAGTTACTCACAGTATATTTTCAGCACGTCTAAACAGTTGGTGATTACCTGTTCATCCTGAGGTGTTACTGAGACTCCAATATTGCTTCCCTTTTATTCCCAAAAAATTCACAAAATAAAACGTTCAGGTACTGAAAAATTGCCATTGAAAACTGCCAGATATGAACCTCCACTGACCAGGAACTTGAAGTGAAACAAGCTCGAAGGTAAACTGATCATTGTGACCACAAAGATAAAAGCAGAAAATTAAACCAGAAGCAAAATAATTTTTATATTTTTACCGCAACGATTGTTGTACCATTCAGCTTGTTCCATTCACGCAGTTATACTCCTGGATGATGGGATGCCTGAGAACATACTGACCTCATACAACATGGAGAACCTATGCTCTAAATTGATATGCATTCCAGCGTACCAGGCCAAAAGAAAACAGAAATGGGTTGAATTCTCTGTTTGTATTGTTACCTGTAAATAAACGAAGGCTTAATATGAAAAAAAATACTAACAACTTTGTCTACTTTCCTTTTGTAGTCTTCAGCAGCAAGGATCTGCACGCCTGTTAGCGACTTTGGCATTTTACAAACCAGGTTTATCATCACTCATAACCCACAATGCCGTGGGGCATCTGTTATGGGCGGTCACGTGTTCTCAGTGCAGGTAAGAGAGCCAACCAGTAAGATCAAGTTTTCTCCATAAAATATTAATAGAAAGAAAATCGTCAATCAGCGAATGTAGAGTAATCTATTTATTAACTTAAAATCTTGACACACCGCCAAATTCTTAGAACTATATCATTCAATGGAGAATGTATTCCAGAAGGTAAGGAGAATGAAGTTGCACAATCAACTGTACCATTGAAACAATGAAAATGTTTTGTTTTCATTGCGTGATAAATATCATGTAAATGCATTTTTCGTGAATATACGGAAAGCCGGTCTTCTCTAGCAAATAATATGCCACCCTTACCTTCAACGAATGTTTATTGCACATGGCATGCTGTTGTCTCGTTTCCTTGTTTATCAACTTGCAATCCCAATAAATTCTAGGATCTAATATAAGAGCATTTCTTCCTCTCAACTCAACAGACTTCTTAGAGAACAGGCAAGCATTGCCCTAAAAAACATTTCAGCGAATCCGGACAAAACAGCCGCCATCTCAGCCTTGAGTCAAGTGGCTCTTAGAAAAGCTGATTCACAGGATGAAACAAGCTGGGATTCAGACAGTTCAGGAATATTTTCTTTAAGTGAAAAGAACTTAAAAAGACAGTCATCGAGTAACTTTTCCGGTACATCCAGTCCCGGTGCCGTACTTAACAGAGAAGCTGGCTCAAAAATTCAACGGACTATTTCAGAGTTAACTTCTCTTTTAACGTTAGTCTTTCAAAGTGATGCTCTCTGGAGATGTGGTGCAGAGAGACAATTTTTGAAACCAATTAGTGCTGGTGGTCTTAGATCAACAAGGCTAAAGAAGCCGAACAATTTTCGTGGGAAAGAAATGTACCTGAGAAGTTTACGTGTGCTTACTAATTGCCTGGTGATCATGTCAAATGTGTTGCTGATAAGTGAGAACATGGAAAATACGAGCAGAGATGAATTCGTTCAAGGGAGGTATGTATCTTACTGTATGCAAACAGTTAAACTGAAAACAAAAGCTATTTTTTTTTTATAATTCAAGTAATGTATTGATTGATAACTGATTAACTGTCCGCCCGTCCGCCCGTCCGCCTGTCCGTCCGTCCGTCGTTTGGTCGGTTGGTAGGTCGGTTTGTCGGCCAGTTAGTAATTCAGTTACACGTAGCTAGTTATCAACTTGAAGAAGTTTGATAATGGTAAATTAACAACCTTAGCTAACTGGCATCAGTCCGTAAGCCGTCTGGCAGCCGGTCGGTTGGTCGGTTGGCCAACTGAGTTGCTAGCAAATGTCTTAAAATCCCTTTAATTTCCATGGCCAGGACTCTCGGTTTAGGTTATTTTCCTCTTAACCTAACAATAGATTTTACAATAAAATAATATATTTTTTAATTTCTTTCGCAGGCGATTGAATCAAGTGGCACTAATAATTCAGAACGGTGGCCTTAAATTTCTTCACGATTTAGAGTTCCTTAGCGGTAAACTGTTGCAAGTTAACCCACCTTTGTTTCACAACATTGATCCGACAACTCTACCCCCGAAAGAAATCACAACGACCCTGAAAAACGCACGGACAGACTTGATATTTGAGAGTGCGAACAAAAGAAAAGAATCTTGCAAAAGTTACCCGGAGTTCGGATTTGAACAGAACGAAATAGACTTCGTGAAGGCAGCAGTTCATGTACTTTGCTTGTTCGCCAATGCTACAGCGCCCGAGTTCGACCCTTGCATGGAAGACATAGAGGTGCTTGACAGATCTAAGTCGAAGGCAGGAAAGAGACAAATTACTTTCCAGAACTCTGCTGTGTTAGTCAGGAATGTTATGAGGATCACATCGGGACGTGGAGGCCGAAGGATCATACGAAGATCGAGTAGTGCCAGGTATGTTTGCATACAGCCCAACCTCTTCACAACGGCCAAGTTGGGGAGAAGATCGCAGTGGCCGTTGTAGAGAGGTGGGCGTTATGGGGAGGTAGGAGTGTAATATAACACCTGTTTTTTTTTTTTATTTCTTTCAGGGGTGTAACATTTTTAATTTTAAAAATCAAAATAAATCACTTAAAACAGAAACAGAGATTAACGCGCGGTAGGGATCAAGTTGTTTTTGTCAGTTGGGACGCACTTTGGTGACCGTTGCCGTTGTGAGGAGTCTTGTAGCTAGAGAGTTTACCGTTAGTGGAGTTTCCACTATATTGAGTTGCTGTTTTACAAAAGTATCCTGAAAGAAAACCTCCTCCTGAAAACGCACATGCATGCGTGGGCTGTGATATAATGATTCCCAAAAAAGCTCCGTAGAATTCCTATAATGAGCCCTCTATTTACGTTGAAAAGAAAGGTTCTTTCGCGTGGGCTTATTTTTTGATGGCCAGATTATCAGAAGAAATTTGTTTTTAGAAATGGACGGGCTCTTAGTTGAGGAAACTTAGCGTCTAAAATATTGCGGGTGCCCTTAAGAATACCGCTTGTGAAATCTGTCTAAACATCACACTAAATTAAACAAAGTTTGCTATCATCAGATAAACATTGCGAAAGAACCATTGTAGTAACAAACCACAAAACAAGCCCAACTGGACGACGGCTTTGTAATCGGAAGAAATTCTTCTTTTTCTTCAGATTAAATTAAATATAATTCATTCGGACGAGTAATTGTTGAAAAGACTTTTGAGAGATAATTTCGGAGACGTTGCATGCAGTGGGTTTAATATTATCGACGGACCTTTACGTTAGCTCGATAATTTTATTTTTTATCGTCTGTTCTCGAACCAATGCAATAGCTACATGTTTTAACATGTAAAAACCTTTTCAGGTCCCTGACGCGCAAGTTGTCCCAAGCTAGCATTACTTCCACAAGGTCAGCAAAATCGTTTCATTCCTCCCCAAGTAATGCAGACCAATCAACGCCTTCTCTCAATTCTACTGGTGCTCAAGACTTGCGCGAGACAACACACTACGTGAAACAAAGCTTGCTAGATGCCAAGGTCATTTGCTGTTTGGCACCATGGATCATGTGTGGAATTTACGAGATTCAGGTGTGTAACTATGGTTAAAAATACGGTTTATTATTTATAATAAATGCAACGAGGCAGGGTGGCCGAGCGAAGGCTGGAATTTCCGATAGACACAGGTTTCTTTTCCTACTCTTGTGATGTTATAGACCCCTTCAACACTACGCCGGAGAAATTTGAAAACGCAGCTTTATTTTTACGGTTAGGCCTACCGTCCACACTGATCCGTCACGAATACGTTCTTCAAACCGGAGGAATTTGAAAACGTCGACTTTGCGTTTCAGACAAGACAAATGCAGTCACGATAATCATGTGATCTTCCTAACCGAGTATCCCTAAAACACAAATCCAAAATGACCGGAGATTGTTGTGTTTTTAAATTCCTCCGACGTTGTGTGGACGGAAAACATTTGATGCGTTTCCAAAGTGAAACCTACGTTTTCAAATTCCTTCGGTGTAGTGTGGACGGGGCGTTGAACCGAGTTCCATATTTAATTAACTTCTTGCAGCCGGAATTCTGCAGAATCACGTTCTTTCATTTACAATGTAGTTTTTTTTTCAATTGGTTTCTGATATTGACTCGGAAAAGCCCTGTTGTCGAGTGGCAATCGAAATGCTTGCATTCACATTTACGTTATTTCGCTCGCGTTTCTCCTTCTTCTCAGGGCGTCCTTGTACGTTAGATTCAATTTTAAGCTTGTGTGAATATAACAGAACTCATCAAGGTGAATGCAAACTTTTCCATTTTTCACCAGGCTAATGTACTCAAAGTCATAAGGTATCTTCAACACAGCAAATACGCCTCCTCGGCAACAGGGCCTCACAGCCAACCGGCACCAAAAGAGGCCTGGACCTCAAGAGTTCCACCATCTCTGACATCTCGCAGCAGCACTCTTAGTCAGCGGTCGTCGAGTGCTGCGACACCAGTTCGTAAGACAGTTCGTAACGGTATGAACAAGTCAAAGTACCTGGGATTTACATGTGTTCGACACGTGATTCAACACTGCGGGGGGTATCTGCTGGACTCACTGGCGCCGCCAGTACCACCTACGTTAGGGAAGACGACTCTAATGGTTTTGAGAGAAGCTGTGGTTAATGGCGAGGTGAGATAAAATAGACCTCACTCATCATAAATAGGATATATGCATTCGGTCATTAGCAATGTTTGCTTTTGATGTCATTGCTATGCAGTCAGTGATGGTTACAGTAAAAGCCCGCATGTAAGAAGCTATTGGTAAGAACCTGCTGGAAGAAATTTGCCATTTTAATACCCAAAAATATAAGAACCTGTTTAGCCAAGCAAGATCACTGAAGCAGGTTCTTATATGTGGGTTACAGTTAAATTAAGATAAACATTTTAACCAAGGAGTGTGACCCTGAGATTAAAGATTTACATTACAAGAAAATACAGAATACAGCTGTGAATAAATACTGTATGTATATTCAAGCACCAAACCCAAGTTTATTTTGTGGTTATCAACAATTATATCTCTTTCATATCATAGAAATTAAGAACCTAATTTAGAACCTACTTAGCCTAAATTGCCAATCACTACCCCAAACCTATTTTGCCAGACTGCCAAAAATGCAGGTTCTTACGTGCGGGTTATACTGTTTCTTTTTTTTTCTGCAGAGCGAACGTGGCGTGTTAGAATACTTGTTACTAGCTTTTGCCTTGTCATCATTTATTTGTGTTCAATTTCCTCTAAGCTACGAGAATCCTCTCTTTTTCTTAGTTGGTCGAATGTGATGGAAAGATGCGGGAAAGGGGACTGAGAAATTTAAAGTAGGGACTGCTCATAGTCAAGGACACTGCCTTGTCATTTTGCTCAATGTTACTAAACTTTTTCTTCGTTGTTTCCTTTCACCTTTTAGGCTGACACGCGGCTCAAAATAGTCAAGCTTGGATGCTTCGCACAAGTGATTGAATACATCCGGGGAAATGAAGATGACGAGACCCTTCAGGCGCTAGGGATTGTGGTTATCCGCATGCTTGTTGGGAATGATGTTTCACTGAAACAGCTTTTCCTTGCTCACGGAGGAATGAACTTGATAATGGCTTTACATCAATACAAGGAGGGAATTGTAAAGGAGCAAGCAGCACACACCATGTTCACTTTTAGAAGAGGTCAGTTTATTCACGAGCTAAGCTTCAGAAAACAGATGTTGCTGTTTATAGTAGTCAATGCGCTTAGCTACACCAAGCTAGTTCACAGGCGTGTCACGTAAACTGAAAGAAACAAATATATCAACTAATCATAATAAGCTTAAAAATCCCAACTGGCACGAGGCAGACTATGACCTACGAGTTGGACTAGGGTCTACCCAGAAACAACTCCAGCTTAGTGGTCAGAACGGGACTTGAACCTGCGATCTCCAGGTTTCAAGTCCGGCGTCCTGACCATTCGGCCACGCTTCACATATGTCGTCCTAAATATCTTTTGTAGTTTCATTTAAAGGCAAGAGAAAATTTCCTGCACTGACGAGGTCGTTGTATCATGATGTGAGCGAGGTGGATGTTTAGGGGGGATTTCCGTTGTAGTTTAGGAGTGCCGATGTGCTGTCGTGTCTGGACCCGGGGGGGGGGGGACTGCCATATAAAAAGGACGGGGGTGCTCGTCGTACCTGTAAGTAGTTTTGGTACCTCTTAGTGTGTTGGGTCTCAAAAGGTCCACAGCTGGAGCTTTTGCGATACCTTTTAGGCTGTTGAGCCGAAAAAAATATGACAAGAGATAATGTGTGATGTAAGAATTGGTACCTCTTAGGGGAGAAAGCCAGGCCCTTAAAATAGGATCTTGGTACCTCTTAGGAGTTCCGTTTTTATATGGGAGTCCCCATCNCCCCCCCCACCCCGTGGTCTGAACCGTTTAATCCAGAGTACAACACGCCAACCATTTAGTCACCGTGTCCATTTGTGGCTAATGCCTAATAATACCACCACTTTATTGAATTGTACAGGAGGAGAGAATTCTCGAGTACACCGGAGATCAAGGACGGCTGATGGAAGAATGAAAAGGCGTCAAAAGTTGACTGACTGTGCCGACATCTGGGAAGAAGTGGGAGAAAAATGGAAAGGCCAAGATCAAGTACTGAAAGTGCTAAAAAAGTTTAACGTGCGATATTGAACAGCACGACCCGAATTTGAAGATTTTTCAGCGACTTCAATATTTTTTTTGCTTTCTGTGGTACTACACGGAAATTAAAGCTGTATGTTTTGAAGTTTGTCATTTGGAATCGATCTCAATCAGTTTTACCCAATTTGAAACTAGGATAAGTGTTGGGGGCAATGTCTAACAACTGATTCCTGCTCTAGCGTGCATCATCGAGTCATATATGGTCCACACGGGAAGTTTGGAGAGCACTCAAGAAGGAGGGTCTTACAGGGGTATTCTCGTAATGCGTGATTAGCTGATTTTGTTTACCGTGAAACGTGAATTTAAGAAATTATTCTTCGTGATCGGTGACCTGAAGGGTTTGCGAGACCCGTGAAGACCGATATTCGTGATTTCACCACTATATTCTTCGTGATTTTGAGACGCAAGTCCTCCGAATGGTTAATGGTTGAAAAGTGATTGCAATAAGGAGCCTTTACTCAGCCATTCGCGATTTTGCTTTCTTCAAACACTCTTTCTAACGTAAGAGCAGGTTATTAAAAAAAGTACCTTACTCGCTTATTTTCGTGATTCGAGAAAATGAAATTTTGATATCCGTGATCCGTTATTTTTTCCGCTCGTGAACCGTGCCAGAGGACCACCCACCCCCACCCCTGTTAAACCCCCAAGAAGCTTAAAAACTGTTCGAGGTGCAGCCGAGAGCAACTCTAGCTTCTTGAGTGCTCTTCCTCCAAACGTCCCAAGTGCATCATTTCTCGATGATGCAAGGCTGAAATCATGACTCAGTTGTTCTATATTATTGCCAATGGAAACGTTATGAGCTTGATGCACGGTTATGTATACTGAATTTCATAGAGCGACTTTGCTTGCTCTGTTGTAATTTTATTTACAGCATTGTATTTTCTAGGCTCATCCTAATCACAGGATACAGGCCTAAATTGTTATAAAAATTAAAATGAAATGAAGTTGGTTACAATGTATGACTGGTATTGCAGTGCAGTCAATTTCAGGCCAGAAAAGATACTGTTTTAGAAACCGTGCTCGATATTTCGCACAGTATTTGGCTCTGCGTGTGTGTTTTCAACACGGATCATGCTCATATATCATGGGTCACTGTATCAGAGCTATGACATACTTGTGGTATCTGCACCATCTAGGAGAAGATGTGGCTTCGTGGCAAGATTTATAGACTGTGGAAGGAAGCATCACTGCATGTTTGGAACGTTGCCAAGAAAAGATGGATCTGCCTTGTTATTTTGGGTTGCCAAGTCCAGCTTAATAACAGCCAGTACATCATCAATAAGTGAAGTGTATTCCAACTCGTGCACCGAAGCCTGCGATGGACCCATAAGAGCCATTGAATGTGAGGTTTTTGTGATTTGGTTCCACGAGGCGTTGGAACGAGGGCCATTTCTTCGGTCCCACTGCTGTGCTCCTGGATCATTAGGCGCCCTTCGTTCACCTTGATTGTTGAATGTTGAACTGGCTCTAGGACCTTGGGCAGTATCTATCCATGGCACATTGGAATAATTTGAGAGCTGTCGGCCGCTTGAACCATAGGACAGAGCTGTAGCCTCGAAAGAGCCTGGTGATGAATCACGGTACGTGTGAGTGCTCGAGCTTTGGCCACGTGACCAAGAACCGTCATTGACAGGCAGAGCCATTCCACTACAGCGTAGTGTCTTACTGACAAATCCGTCAGCTGAGCTGCATGGCCAATTTTCCCTTTGCACTTCGTTGAGAGAATAGTACGATGGAGGTAAAATGGTGCTCTGATTGGCTGCAATTAATGGTCGGAAGTTAGCAGCAGGTGGCAATTGCTTCTTGAACTTCACCCGTCTGTTCTTGAACCACACCTGGCAAAATAATAAAGTGAAATACAAACAAGTGTTACTTTCAAAACCTATGAGCATGTTCAGCCTCCTTTCCTGCAATTCTTCCTTTCGTATACCTTTTATTGCAAAAAGGTAACCCTTTCACAGACCTTCTTATGGACACTGCATCTCTTTTCTAAACTCTTAACTTGGAATGAAGTTAACAAACAATATTACAGGAGAATGTTCAACAAACATTACCAGAAAAGATGTTAACTATGAAAACAAGTATTTCATACAATCGAACCTCCCGTAAGCGCTTACGAGAGGTGGTCGCTTACGAGACCTTAGACCATATCGGGTCAAAATTCTGCCTCATTAGCATATGGTAACTGTAGAGATCCCATGTTTCAAATGTTTTATTCATGTGAAAAGTCAATTTCCGTTTCTTGTACCACCCAGCGATAATGCGATAATGTTACAACACCTTATTATCCAATTTACGCTCTATTATCTGTCAAGTGGTCGCTTACGAGAGGATAAAAACAAAACAAAATGTCAAACGTTTAGCTCTAAAAGTGGTCGCGGTCGCTTATGAGAGGTGGTCGCTTACAAGAGGTTCCAAATATAGTGATCTGACTTAGAAAATTTTAGTACTTTGGGAAACTGGTCGTTGAGGAGAGGTGGGTTCGACTGTATTCAGTTCTCATTACGTTAAAACAAAGAAAATCACAACCGTGAAGGACGAAACTCGGTCTTAATCAGCATAGATTTTGACGATTTTACGGTTCTCCGTTTTCTCCTTAGCTTTTGTTTCGATTGAAAAGATATATCAAACACTCGAGACAGTGTTTCATCGGCTATCCAAAAACCTCGAAGTTCGCCAAAACTGCTCCGCTGCGCGTCGTATTTTAAACTCTGTTCTCGGTGTTTGGATATCCCGCTCTCTTGTTTGATATATTACTTCATTTTCACACTAGACTTAAATGGCAGATTTCCCTACTCCCTTTTATTTAAATTGCGAAATCCCTACCCTTTTATATACCTGAAGCCTAAAAAGGGTACCCCTTTCGGGCGCAGCCTACCTGCAATGGCCATTATAGGGCGCACCCCGAGATAATCATTCGATTTCGAGTGTAATTTAGCATAGACAAGAGTAATCAGCGTCCAAAACCCCCAATTTGGAGTCCAACGAACTAATGGTAAGAACGTTTCCGGGCCTACATTGATCTTCGTTGTTCTTGATGTCAGTGATGTCAATCTCAAAAAGCCTCCGCCATTTTCGACGCCATCGAAATTATTGATATTGCACGGTGAAACGAAATGTTATTGTTTTACCGTAAGTCGTGTTCCTGAAAGTATGTTTAATTATCTTTAGTAGTTTCACAGTGATTTCCTTCGTCAGTTCGATATGCTCCGAATCAAGAGAAAATAAAATATAACGACCAAGCACTCGCATGAAAATAAAAACAAACGTGTGGCTGACTAGGACCCGTAAGCTGGGTGCAGTTTCACATACTATGATTGTCCTTTTAGGAATTCCAAGTTCCTGCAGCCGAAGGCAAGACTCTGTTGTGAGGTAATTAGACTTGTTAAAAGCTCTCTCAAGCTCATCTCTTTGTAACGAGCTGAAACAAGTTCTTGGTCGCCGCTTCCGCTGTCTCGCAGGGGTGCCCTCTACTTGGTCACCTGCTACTAGAACGTAAAAAAGTGTTACTTTAGAAAGAAAACAAAACATCAAACGTCAGTTGGTAAGTGACAAGGAGTTTTCTTCTCCCATCAATCCCTCTCCTTGAATGGGACACCTGTCTACTGCATGGCTAACCACAATAATTAAATTCGCACCTACCAATAGTGCATCTACTAGGTATAGAGACAATACAGAATGCCTCTTCTTTTTCGTTCATCGAGAGGATATCTAGCTAATTTGTGCTGTGCGTGGGTCGAGTATATATCTCATATTTATGGGTTAAAGTCTGAGGTCAGGATCGCTGGATATCGGCCATGGCCAATACATATCTTAGTCATGCAAGAAAGGGCTTGTTATGCGGCATAAAGGAGACCATTTTCTTCGGTTAAAGGCGTACATTCCCGAGCGGTCAAGATAGCCTCATCTTTCTAGCTGGAATAGCCATCGCAGCGATGCATTGGGCTCATCTTAGCCGCTTGCTGAGCTAGCCATGTGATAAGTAGTGTGATACCAGTTGATATCTTGCATTGATTCATTGAAATATCTCGCGTTTGAAAAATTCCATACTACGATTATCAGTTGAGTAGGGCGCGACGGAGAAGTTTTGGACTTGAAATTACGGTGCTGCAAGAGAAACATTCCTTGTTTCCAATGGTAACAATATCGTCACCTGCAATTTCGTGCGATTTGCTGCCAACGACGTCAAAGACCGACAAGTTGCCACTGGAAACGGAGCCAGTTGCACGTGACAACAACACAAGTTGAACGAGACCAAACTTTCGTAGCGCCCTACTCAACTGATCAGGGGCACCCAACGACTGTTTTCTCTCAAATGCTTTTTACCGCTGTTTTAGGCCATCTGGAGTACTTTTAAAGCTCTGTAGGTTAATTTTATGTTGCGCCAAAAAAATTTTATCTGTTCGGTTATTCTAGGGGAACTTGAGTATTCTCGAATTTATTAGGGCTTTTTTGTCCATTCCCCGAAAACCTTAGGTCTTATCACCTTTCCGAAAATGATAGCTGACCTTTTTTCGGTACCCAAAACGACATTTTTAACAATCRGAYAACAACAGACATTGAATTTCTCATACCACGAAAGTTCGAGGCGACAATTCTCTTCAGAAAATCAGAGGGGATTAAAGGCCTTCCGAACAGATAATTTACCGAAAGGATCCGTTGGGTGCCCCTAACTGATTAGCGTAGTAAATGTCCAGAACGAGCAAACACATGGAATAATGTACCTTTCTTAATCACAGAATCATTTTTGAACAGAATCATTTGATGCGGGTGATCTACTGCTGATTGCCATAAAATATGTCACAAGTGAGCCGATATTTTTGTTACTGGCAGATCGTTCTTGTTGTACTTAACATCGTCTCTGGCAAATGACAAGCGACCAAAATTTAAACATGGCCTGTAATTGCAACGTTCTTGGCGGATCTTAATCAGTGCTAACCGACAACTGCATGAAAGATCGGTTAATTTTTACTGTTATTGTAATGACTGAGAAAGAGCAAAATATTAAATCATAATTGACAAAATTTTACCCAAAGAATTGTCAGAATGTTAACTGGCAACTAAATCCGGTGAAAATTTTAACTGGGAATTTGCTAATGGTAACATTTACAAACGACAACTGAAATGCTAGAGAAAAAAAAACTACCAAAATCTGAACTGATTCTGTTAAACGGCCAGAACTTTCAATTGATCAAGCCTTTCACTTGCGCTCATGAGACCGTCAAACTTTTAACCGAAAAGCGACACAAACCTGTAAGATGGCCACTTTCTACATAACCATTTTCTTCAGTGCTCAATGAATCAGAGGCGGCTTTTTCAGTAATTTCCCCCGGTTTCTGGATATTCGTCATTTCACTTGGGTCAACCGTTACACAACGATAAAGAAAAGGAGAAAAAGAACTTTTCTTTCCAAGGTTAAATGAATGTCAAACATTCATCGATTCAATTTTATGATGTTTCGTCAGTGTCAATGCACGAATCTAATTGGTCAATTAGGTCCTGTTTATCGCTTTGATTACTTTTACCGCCCATCGCACTAGGTTTTGACGAAATAGATAAAATCAACAAAGGCTAACGTGGTCCAAAACTGAGTCATTTCAAGGTTTGAATTTGCTATTTTGGATCCCATGACGTCATCCCAATAACGATGACGACTTGAGTCTGTCGTCATTGCAACACCGCATTTCTTTTTTGTTGTTCTAGTGACGTTTGATAGATTGAACTGTCCTAACGAGGCTGTTGATTGAAATTGACACCATTTGGAAATCACAAAGTTAATTAACTTTGTATAGTTACTATGGCAACGTTCCATTCGACCAAAATTTCCGCAGTTTTCAGAACGGAGACCAGTGGAATAGAAATTTCCCAGGAAAATTTCAGAAAAATCCGCGATTTCTTGATTTCCGAAACGCGAACCACCACTCAACTGAAAATTCTCGGGATTCTGGGAGCAAAATAAAAAATTAGGATATACACTTGTGTGGTTAATTGTCCCATTTCCTGAAAGTTCCGAAAGATGCTGTTCCTTTCGCCAATGGAAGAGTCCGGAAATTCAACCCCGAACGTTATTTGAAAGTGCTTTTTGGATTGTGTGAAATAACCAAGAAAAATCTGTCCAAGTGTTAGCCCCGAAAGGGAATAAATTAGAGACCTCTCTGTACAAAAAAGTGATGATTTTATCTCGGTGGGATTTGAACCCTCGAACACTGTTCCTCCTAGCCGGACTAGAGCTGTGACGATGTATTCAACAGTCTCAGCTGCCACTAAATAGTTTATTACGTGTGGTAGCTATAGGTTTGATGGCTTAATACTCGCAAACTGTCCGCATGTTGCTTGCTCATTCCGTGGAACAAATTACACATATCATTTGTGATGGTACGTTCGGCTTAAAATTATCGACATTTAACAGTGATTACAGTTGCGTTTGACAGTTTGAGCATACCATTAATAGTGGTAATAGGATTAAGTGGAGTCCAACTCGGTCTGTAATCATACGAGTGATTAACAAAATCGGACGACCGCGAAGCGGGAGTCCGATCTGTTTAATCACTCGTATGATTACGAACAGAAATGTTACCAATTAATCATAACCATTACAGTTTCCCAAAGAAACAAAATTTCTAATAAAAAAAAAAAAAGCAAAATATTATATTGGTGGATTTAGTGGAGAGGACTTAAAATGATTGGCTCATGCAACTGTCCGATTACAGGTGTCCGATTACAGCCAACTGTCCGATTACACTGTCCGATTACATCTTTGCTGATTAATTAGAGCAAAATACAGCAGTTTATGCACCAATCACATTTGAGGAAATTGTAATTGTTATGATTAAACATGAAGTCACGCCGAAGTGGTTAAGTATTTTAGATCTTGTTTCCGATCTCATTCCGGAGATTTTAAGTTGTAATTCAGGCCCGTTCCAAAGTCCCTCTCCACTCTGGTGCTGAACCCAATTCAATAAGGGGCAGCGACTGATTTAGGAGTCATACTTGCGAATTTTATTCTGGGGAACCGCTGCTAAGCAGTTGTTAATGTTGAAAATAAGTGTTGAGAATTAAAATACAAGGATTCTGTCCAAATTGATAAGCAATTACATTTTTTTGTAAGATATAAAGCACTATTCGAAGCAAAGCAAATTCAGTCTCGAGATTAGTGGAAGAAAAAGACTGACATTCCTTTTAATTTTTGTATCTTTTACTTCAACACTCTAAAGTAGACGATATAAAAATTAAAAGGAATGTTAGTTTTTTTATCCCCTGCTTTCTTTAATATCTTCCTTTTTTGATCTTCTCTATCTTTTTTAAACGCTTGGAGCGATTTTAAGGCCTTTTGAGTCGTGGAATCCAAGTGCATATGGGTGATTTGGTGCAAAGCATTGACACGGTTTTCATAAATCCAGTCATATATGTATTTAGAATGTTTCTCTCGGTAAATTAAACTTGCAAATACCGCAAAAATATCGACTAGCCTGGAGTTACGTGGGTGACACAGGTATGTAGATTTAGGTGAGAAAGTAAAAACGGGGCAACAGTCCTAAACTGCCAAAGCAAACTGAAATGTGTCTATCGCGGGTTCGAGATAGATGGACGTTTTTCGCCGGTCTGGCTTGTGTGGGGCCGTTTCTCCCTTATATAACCGAAAGGCGCCAAAGGGTATGGTGTTTGAGCCGTAAGAAATAAGGCATTGAAACGTCCCTGTTATCAGATGCTTCTGTTACTTTACGGCCACGGTACACCGAATTAAAGAAACAGTTTCAATTCAACGGACACGACACTTATACCTAAACAATACTAAAGCGTTTACAACGATATTTAATGTGAAGTATCCATATTACATAGCCTACAATACAAAGTAATGGTGGTATAATACTTCACAGAAGATAGCAATACTTACGATTTGTTTTTCTTACATGACTTAACGTTACTATTGTCTGTATATACTTCAATCTTTTTGTTTGTCTTTTTTACGGAATAGATTGGATGTTTTCACAGTTTTTTTACACGGATACAGTAAAACCCACATGTAAGAACCTAACTTTTTGAAGTCTGGCAAATAGGTTCTTGTATTTTGGGGTAGGTTTTGGCAATTTAGGCTACGTAGGCTCATAATTAGGTTCTTCTTAATTTCTATGAAGGAGATATAGTCGTCGATTACCAGAAAAATATATAAACTTAAGTTTGGTCCTTGAATATATAGTATTTATTCACAACTGTATTACGTATTTTCTTGTAACAGAAATTTGAAATCTCAAAGTCACACTCCTTAGTGAAAGTGTTTAATATCATAAATTAACTGTAACCACATGTGAAAAACTGCTTGATCTTGCTTGGCTAAACAGTTTCATATATTTTTGGGTTTTAAAATGGCGAATTTCTGCCAGCAGGTTCTTAAACCAATAGGTTCTTACATGCGGGTTTTACTGTATTATTATACAGTTTGTTATAATGTAAGCTTAGTTTTTCTCATAGAACAGTGGTGTCATCTTACACAGCATTCTCGAGACAATCAGCTTTGTCTACTCTGGCCAAAAAAATCTTTTACGAGTTTTTATTAAGTTATTACCCCCCTTTCCCCTTCCCCTCCCCTACACAATTTTGACTTGAGGACACTTGCTATATTGACCACATTGTAGGAGGACGGTGGAGGTGTATGCATTTCTCTCTGGGGTGAGCTGTGAGGAGTGTCCCAAGACTTTTGGCCAGGATTGTTCCTTGATCTGGAATAACTTGGCTAGTTATTAATTTACACTGATCAAACCAACACGGATTTTTTTTATATGGATCGTGGATCTAGAGGTCTTCAATACTGCGCTCTCTCGACTTGTTGGTCTTCAGTCAAGAACACCAAATGACCAACTTGTGTCTACATGCTATTTGTCCCCAGGGATACGGGACACACGCTCATAGATCTGGGAATCGCACTCTTAGGCCTGGAACTCGTAGTTTACTGGCTGTGTGAGTCCCAGAACTCATTACAGCCTTTTTCTAGATGGATCACTGTTCCACGCTTAGCGAGGCTGGAGGCCAAGTGTAAAAGGTCTAAGGTCAAGTTTTCTTTAGAGTTTAACGACATAACTTAAAGTTGCTAGAGTAAAGGAAAACAATATTACATTTAGATTATTTTGATTTTGTTAAGAAATAAATCTAAAATGTAAATAAAACTTCAATTTCATACACAAAATGTGACTGTGTTGGATTTTGCAACCAAAAAATGTCATGTTTTATAGGGGGTGGGTCATGTAATTTCAACCTTCATTTAGTGGTGGGTCACTCAGTTTTATGCCAAATGAAATGTGTGGGTCATGTGTTTTCTAACCACCACATTTTCAAATATTCCGGTTTCCCCGGCCCCTCCTGTACTTTTTGACCAGTCCCTTACAACATCGAAATTTCGCCGCTACTTTACGATCGCATCTTTAAGGTATTAGGAAATTCGTGTGATGATTTCGTACCGGCTGAAAGGTCTTAAAGTGCATTACTATTAACTTTGTCAGTAATAACGCCATCCAGACCGTCATTTCTGGCTCCTCAGGCTACCTTCTCCGTGTTTTCCTCTTGGAAGCTCTCCAGTGGACTTTGATGTCTTTTTCACGGTTGCCTTTGCTGCGTGCTGGTCTGAATCGTTCCTGTCTCTCTTCCCACGCTCCTCTCGTGCTGTTTTAAACTATTAACTACTATTTCCTTTCGCTTTAAAGGCGCATCAAGAAAAAATGCCAGTTGTTTTAAGTTCATTTGTCCGTTCGCAAACAGTATACTTTCCGTAGGTTTCTAAGTATAGTGTAACAGGATTTCGAAAGTTGTTTTACGTGTTTCTCCCAATGAGGATGTTCTTGGATAACATCAAGTAATGACAGTAATTTAGTTTGGTCAACATGATATTGTTCAAGAGAATGACCTCGAGACATACGGCTAGTTGATAGGACCATAGGTTTTGTCTTGGCAGGGTTCAGTGCGTAGATAGGAATTGGCCGACCAAGGGCACAGGGTATTTGGCGTCAAGGTTAGTTCTTCCGTCTCAGTTTTCGGGAGGTCGGCAGGGCGACAGCTGACATACATAGTAGTATCTCCGGCCTACTGAAATGAGTATCAACTGCATGGGAGGTTGTCTTGTAATATATGAAACACGAAAGACCGTGTTTGACATTTCAAAACACCGAGAAGGGAGTTGAAAACACTACACACAGCGGATTATTTTTGACGAACTTCGAGGTGTTTGTTCCGCGGCCCTAAGTCTCGGGGCCAAGTTAGAATTCCAATACAACGAAATTAGGCAATGGGCGGAATAGTTTACTTTGATAACCGGACCTACACAAAGAACTGAAAAGATTAAACACGTTAATTCAATTTCCATTGTTTGTGTTCTCTATGCAGGGCCTCGCTGCTAAGTGAATTTTAATCAATCGAAAACAGTTCATTGAAAGCACACGCACGCGAAATCTAGCTAGCTACAAAGGCTAATTTTCGGTTTCTTATTTCTTCTTTCATGTTACTTTATCTTAGAAACCAACATTTTGAGGTTTACTTCGTATTAAAAGTAATTCTGCCCTTCAGGAAAATTTTTTTAAAAAAATTACCATGACAGGGAACAACACGTGTAAACAGCTTGACGCAATCCTTTTTAACAACTACATGAACTTAACAAAAGAAAAAAAAAGATTACAGAAGACGGCTGGCTGTAGCTAGGTTTCTAATATTTGACAAGAATGAATTGGTGGCTTACTTACTGGCCTCCCACTTGTGCTGGTGGGGCTGTGAATTAAGAGAAAAGGCGATCAGCCTACCTTTAATTTCCTGCGAACAGCGGAGATTCAGAAAATAGACGCTGTTATATATTTGCCCGTCTAATAGATTTCATTTTGCTAATTCAACCTTGAGTAAATATATGGCCCACGCACACGTCAACAAGATTATTTTTTCAAATCAGATTTGATCCCCTATTTAGGAATTATCGTCTGAACTGATCTCCCACTTAATACTATCTTTCATCTCCCTTGAATGCAAAACTATCAGACATATGTCTCTCTGGAGGTTGGCGAAATGTCACTAGCATTTAGTAAAATATTCGTGCTGCTTTCGTTTGGCTCCAGATCTTTAAGGTTAACCACTTTCTCTTTTCCATTCTTTGCTTCATCGCGCGCAGTCATCTCTAAATCCTCGTTAAGTGAGCAAATTTGTCGGTGTGACTTAAAAAACCCTTTAGCAAAAGTCCTCGAACAATTTTCGCATCTCCTCGGCCTCTGCTCGCCAAAGAACTCCATGATCTCGATAATCCCCATAATGATGCCTAGAGCGTTTTTCGCCAACAAAACGGATATATCGAGGTGGTATCCATGCCATAATATTAGCCTTAAAACCAAGAAAGGAACGTTGACGAAAAACATGAAGCTACAAATGTAAATAAACTTGAACGAGATGGGAGAAATCTCGCCACTGTCGTGAAACTTGTTATACTTCAGCTCAAATAAGGCAAAGGTTGGAAGGAAAATATTCATGCAGGAAAAAGCAAGGATTGCATTTTCCAGCCCAATTGTAATCTTATCCCTGTCGAAAAGATACTCGAGCATTTCCACGCTGTCAAATAAATCCAGAGTTACAGCGGCCGTCATTTTCTCCAAGTAATATTTTCGCCGTGAGTGCGATTTGGCGTCGTGATGCGCGTATATGAGAAATAAAAACAACATCGGTGTCAGACACAAGTTCATTTTCAACATGTTTTGTCCAAAGACAAGTTTCTCTTCTAATAAAGACGCCTTACGCTTGAATAAAGTGGCTACTTGAGGGACTAAATGAACAGCATAGACAATCCAGGCAAGAAAGGCAAACTTCAATTCATCTTTTGTAGCTTTCGCTGTGGAACTCTGTGATTTTCGGTGCGACATCCACATTGTAAACACCCAGGCAGCGAGAACAACAGCGTCTGTTCCGATCCATGCAAACGACGCTGAAGAGCTTTCTTCGAAGATTAAATAATAGTCCAGAATTACTCCTTGTAAAATAAGCAAGCCAACTGCAAATATTCGAGCAACTACTCTGCGATAAATCCCTGTTTTGCGGGCCATGATCGCAATCTCACGCTTATTTGAACACGTCGTTTGCTCATAAATAATATCTAACCACTGCCCAGCCAGGCATCAAATGAATCAGTTAATCACTTGTCAGACCTGTCATCCCTTTGTGTTATTGTATCTTTTGTCACAGGTGGCCCCAACGTTCCTGTACGTAGAGTAGTACAGTACTTAGGTTACGCCACAGTACTCACAGTCTAAGCATTTGTATGGGAAAAACGGTTCTATTCTCAAGCCTAAGCAATACAAAGGAGCACGAATAAAGATTAATCTGTCTTGCTTCATGAGTGTGTTTCCTATGGATCCCTATGGTTCCCGAGAGGTTTCTGGAGGTCCAAAAAAACAAATTAAAATGCAATAGGTCACGGCCCGGCCCGGGGTGGTGGCGGGGGTAGAGGGATACTCTTATATATGAGCTATATGGATATGTGCGGGCCCCAAAGGGTATGTTTTTTGGCCGTTTAGGTCATAAATGGAGTATCGATTTGGCTATTTTGGATCTCAAATAGGGTATGGTTTTCTCAGTCTTGAATTGGGTGTGTTTTTTTGGAAGAAGCCACTTCAGTCAACATTAACGAAAAGGCCATCAACGAAAAACCTTCACGATGCCTTTAACATCGGTGGGAACTAGAGAACTAATTAAGCCAGGTCTGAAACAGGGTATTGAATTAAGGGTCGGGTCTTAAATAGAGTAGCGAAGTTTTGATCAGGTCTTACATAAGGTAGGGAAAATCGCAGATTTTGGAATTAAATAAGGATAGAGGTTTTGGGAAGCGAGCCGTACAGGCGTACATACCCACCCAATTTTTCTGAGAGCACCCCAAGGCCTCACGGGAACCAAGAAAACACACAACCACACACCTAAAGTGTATCTTTATTCATATTCCTTCGTTTTATTATTTAGGCTCAAGAATATAACCTTTTTTTCATACGAATCCTTATATTTCGACTGTTGCGTAACCTGAGTACTACTGTATGAGCTTGCATGTAAAGGGACACTCATTTGCCAGCTTGGGCCACCTCAGTGTGCTCTCATCCCTGGCCTTTGTGTTATTGCATCTGTTATTTAACTGATGAATGGGGTAACCCGTGTGAACCAAAGTCACCATTTGCTTACTTCAATTTGTCATCATTTGTGCTTTCAAGATCCTTTTTCAAGCGCTGACGCCATGATAGATCCGATCATTCCTTAACTTAATTAATTTCAAAGCACGTTTCCTTTTTATTAGCCTCCGTGTAGATGTCTACCAATTCCATTCACTTTTTCTGCGCGAAAAGAAATACCAGTAGTAGACGTCTTCACGCAAGTTAGTGAGCCAAGCAAACCCCAATCCCCACCCCACCCCCACTCCTAGAGTGGTTTTGTCCAGTGCTGTCCTCTCCCCAGATTTCCCTCGCGAACTAATCCAAGATGGCTGCAGCTCCAACCTTTGAGCTTGGCGGCCGGTTCATAGATAACACGACTGAAGCTTCTCCTCGACGCTTTTTTATTACTGTTATTATTTATTTTGTTTTTGTTAATTTGCCTTTATCTTTTTTCTCCTCAAAGCTTGGGGAAAAAGTTTTTCAACGCACAGAAAGGGTACAAAGCTGGACTAAGATGCTGCTCATAGCTTTGCTATCATATCAGGGCATTCCCAACCCAAACTTACAAAAATTGTGCCTCAAGGTGGAACTAATTATTAGTTTGGTCATGTAAAGTTTGCCTTCAATTAATCATTATCTCTTCACAGAACGCACAGAAATTGACACCTCAGGTCCGTCTGGATCAGTATTAAAAACGAAATCAGTTTGGCAAACATAATTAATTATATAACTGCAAAATCAAAGTCGGCAATTTCCTTTTGAATGATTTTGAGGAAGGGAGCCATCATCTTTAGTCTCCGTAGATTAAAAGCACTAGCCCAAGGACAAACGCTGACACATCATTTATGACAATATCGTAGATTAAGCAGCTCAGTTCACGATAAGGTTTCCTCGCGGGCCTTCTACATGCACTTCATTCGTGATTTTTCCTTTGCTGTCGGGAAAATCACGAACATTTTGGCCCGCGAAAACAAATAAACGCGAAAAAGGTCTATTTTCCCATATGCTAGCACTGAATTAAGTCTACTTTTAAGTCAAATTATGTATTGATCATGAATTCCTTTTATTTGTCTTCATCTCATGATAAGTCTGATCATCCTGAGGGAAGCGGTGTAGGGTACTCTTATATAAGCCATTTTGGTCTGAGATTGTGGAATTAGATATGTTGTCTTCAAAGGGACCGTATAATTTCCTCTCATCAGCAAATTAGAAACCGTTTTCAAATGATGACGCGCACGAAAGCCATTCTAGCATGGTCATGTATTACGGATGGGCACAAACGAAATAGGGTTAAGGTTCGTAACAGCAGGCAAACCCAAAATTACGGCGGGAATAATTTCCCTCTGCGCAGGAGTCCCAGATAACTTACTGCGCCTAGTTAACAACTTCACCACACGACCGCTGAAATAGCTTGGGGGTGTGATGGGAGAATAAAATCATATCGAAAACATTCCATTCAGAAATGCCAGTTCTAAGTTCCGTCTTTTCTGTTCCACTTATTGAATTCTACTATTCGGCGAAAGCGCCATGTGAAATTCTTGAAACCGGACGTTCCAAAGTTTAGTTTAACACTCTATTCTTCATCTGGAGGGTATGTTTACATGCCTACATACTCGCCCATCATACACGCCCTCGTGTGGAGACGATATCGTCTTATTTTATAAAGAACACAGCCACATAGTCGCCCTAAACAATGAACACCGCTGTATTGACATGCCAAGTCTTATAGGGACTGCAGGACGTATCAAAGCAATCGCAAAGTACCTCCTAATTTCATTATACTTTCAATCACCTGCTGCGCTTTTTTTTTTTTTTTTTTTTTACACTGTCAGAATATTTTTCATGATAAGTAATTAAACTTAACCAAAACAAACATCATCTAATCGTTATTCGCTTTCACATGCATTTCTCCTTTTGTCAAAATTCCCCGCCTTATTTTTGATTGATTTCTAAAACTGTACTTTTAAAATTTCAAGGAAGTAAATAAACAGAAAAAAAGTGACATACCGTACATCATGTAAGCGTGCCTTGCCTTATTCCGGTGTTAATTGAAAGCCACAAGCTATAAATAAATACGTACAAATGCAAATGGCAAAGATCAATTTCCAATTTTCCTTCCCTCAGTAAATATGCCAGTCTCTCACATATTGAAAATAAAATTAATTGTTCCATTTGAAGTTTCTTCTTTTCTAGTTTAACCCTAATCCGTCTACTACGTCTGGGAGTCGAGTGGTTTTTTCAGTAATTTTCAAGCTCATATTAATAACTATAAATCAAACATACGTTTTCAATGTGGTTGGTGAAATTTGATCAGCCACGGGAAAACTATCATTGTGCATGGTATCATTCAGTTTAAGCGGCTCTTGAAGGGTATTCTGTCCTAAAATTCCATTTCCCGTTTCACCTTCGGCAATCATTTCAAAATTTCCCTCAGGCGAGCACGTTTTGAGGTGCGATTTGAAAAACACTTTGGCAAAAGTCTTTGAACAGAACTCGCATCTCCTCGGCCTCTGCTCGCCAAAGAACTCCATGATCTCGATCATTCCCATCACGATCGCCAGAGCATTTTTCGCCAGTAGAACTGAGACATCTAGATGGTATCCATGCCATAATATTAGCCTTAAAACCAAGAAAGGAACGTTGACGAAAAACATGAAACTGCAAATGTAAATAAACTTGAACGAGATGGGAGAAATCTCGCCACTTTCGTGAAACTTGTTATACTTCAGCTCAAATAAGGCAAAGGTTGGAAGGAAAATATTCATGCAGGAGAAAGCAAGGATTGCATTTTCCAACTCAATTGTAATCTTATCCTTGTCGAAAAGATACTCCAGCATTTCCACGCTGTCAAATAAATCCAGCGTAACAGCGGCCGTCATTTTCTCCAAGTAGTATTTTCGCCGTGAGTGCGGTTTGGCGTCGTGATGCGCGTATATGAGAAATAAAAACAACATCGGTGTCAGACACAAATTCATTTTTAACATGTTTGGTCCAAAAATATGCCGCTTCTCTTCCAATAGAGACGCCTTGCGCTTGAATAAAGTGGCTACTTGTGGCACTAAATGAGCAGCATAGACAATCCAGGCGAGATAGGCAAACTTGATCTCATCCATGGACTCGCTCGGCTTCCCAAATTTTCGCCGGTTTCGTTGCGATATCCACATCGTAAACACCCAGGTGAAGAGAACGATGACCTCTGTTACGATCCATGCGAACCACGAAGAGCTTTCTTCAACTATTAAATAATAGTCTAGGATTGCTCCCTGCAAAATGAGCAAGCCGATAGCAAATACTCGAGCAGCAAGCCTGCGAAAAATCCCTGTTTTCCTTGCCATAATTCAATAAAACACGCCTATTTGAGCATCAGCAAGCCGATCTAAGAAACGTACTGCTCTGTTGCATAAAGACCAATTAACCAGTTGAGGCGTGCATGGAGAAAATCAGCTGAAAAATAATGAATTGTAAACATGTACAGGAAGCAACAAAATAAAGCAAGCCTCATTAATAACTATAGTTACTTATTCTAACATAATGTGTAAGCGGGAAAACATTGCAGGTGACTCTGTAGGGCTTTTCACCTTTCAACCGTGAATAAAACTACAATCCTTTTGTTTGACCCTTTTTCAGTCTTCTTAATTATTTATAATTTTAAAATATTCAGTGCGTTTACCGTATACGCACTGAAAAAGATGAGGCTTATCCTGTTTCGACCGTGTAATCGTTGAGTTTCACAAATAGTAGTTTCTTTCCTGATGACGTGTCACGACTAACAAATTATGTGGCGTGGACTGACAACATCGTTGTGGTTTAGCAAGGGAGGGGATTTCGAAGCCTTCCGTGACAGAATTGTCGTACAGAGGAAGATCTGCATCTGTTTGAAAGTCGTGGGCAGAGCATACATTCTTTTTTATAAATTATAAGATGTATTTTATAAGAATATCGAGACTGAAATTTGCGAAATTTTAAGAATATTTTAAGAATGAACCCGGGACTGAGATTTTGAAAAGAATGTAATTTTTTGTGTTGTTGTCGTTGTTGTTTTTGTTGTTGTTTTTAACTAAACCATAGCAAATTCTTTCTCTCTCTAAACGGCAGATCCAGCCACTGAAAAGGCAACAAAAACAACACTAGCCGTATGTTGGAAGCTAATAACATTTCTGCAAGACGTTATGTGTCATATCAGACTTGAATGTCTGTAGTGCGACTCCAAAATTAGTTTAACACCATTCAGACACCAAAAGCATTCGAAAACAGAAATTTCATACGCTGTAATCTAAGAATATCCACAAGAATATTTTCAGCCTAAATTTGGCAGAAAATAAAAGAGTGTATCAAGGGACAAAAAGAAATCAATGACGATGGTCTCACCTTTACAATGTTAAGACCTAGTCTTCTTTTCTTTCCCTGGTTATCACACAGTGGTTATCTTCCGCTCTTTTTTCCTTGAAAACTTCACCAGCTTTCCCTCTTACGCTCTTGAATTATGCCGCATTTACAAGCGGTGCGTATATATCTTTTCTTCTTAGTAATCATTATTACTATTATTTAAACGCATTTACCGCGATAAGAAATGGACACTCCCACTAGGTTTGGACACATCAATCAAACCTTATTTTCTTTTATTTCAAAAACTTACTAATTGTTGAGTTTGCATAAAAGTGCTCTCCACGGCAAGTTGTTACCTAAAACTAAAACTTACTCGAATAAAACGAAACTTTGACTCGACCGATTGCATAAGAATTGGCATTTCCCACCAAAGATGAAAAACGCGCAAGCCTTTATTCGTAATTTAAGCAAAACCACGAGGATATTATTTCTTATCAAGAAGATACAACCATTTCCCACAATTTACGTAAGTATTTCAGCTAGCCGTCGTGAGGTGGGACATATCTCTTCGCTTGTCACTCATGGGAGACAGCATGGAAGTCTTACTACTTTTTAATTATCGGTTCATCAGGAAACAACAGCCTTACAACAAAAACAACCAGCTTTATTTCCATGACCATAAATAGATACAGTGTTGCAAAAACTTTTGTAAACTAAAACTAAAACTAAAACAGTAACGATTATCGTGATCATATAATAATATTATGATCTAGCAATCAAGTTACAATGGTTTGATTTGAAAGTAGAATATTGCGTAGATCAAAGCAAGATGAAATAAATTTTGCTAATTGAATATTAATAACGAAGATAATTGTTTTTAAAAAGTCGGAATGATATGTTCTATTTTTTTTTTTAACAAAWTTTTTTTTTTTTACAGAATATAGTATTTATTGCAATATATAAGAAAGTGAGATTCGTCTTCAATTTGATTAGATTCACAAATAGGGCAGAGTCTGTTAACCCTTGGAATTTGATCATATCTACAAGTCTCAATCCTTAGTTTGTGATTGCCTATCCTAAATTTCACTAGTTCTTTTCTTTCGCTTAGTTTGCTTGTTAGGCCTAAATAAGAGGAGGGTGTATAATCATTGACTGTGAGAACATATGGGTAGAGGATAACTCACTCAAAAGACTACATGTTACCTTTAGTTAAGATCTGTACAATAGCCATGTGTATAACAATTGCTTGTTTCTCATGCCTGCAGGCTGGCTCTAAAATTTCTTAACACCATCCAGACACCGAATTCATTCGAAAAACAGAAATTTCATTCGCTGCAATCTAAGAATATTTACTGACAAGAAAATTTTCACTTGAAAATCGTCAGAAAAATAAAAATATTCAGTCGGGGCTGGAAAAACAATCATAACGTGATGCGTGATTTGCTATTTTACAAGCACGCGATGCGTGATTTACCAATTAGATTTCCGTGATATGTGAACGCTCTCTGAACTAGGATAGCATTCATTCAAAGTAAATAGTAAATTGAGTCTTAAAAAAAAATCATCAAATCGTGGCAGACGTGACACCATTTTCTGCTCTTTTTCGTCCTTTTCTTGACCTCTGATGTCTTTGATCTTCGTGGATCTCATGGTACTATAAGTCCAAACAACAATTTATAGGAATAAGTCAACTGAAAATAGTTAAACTTTGCACAAGGACTATGAGCTTCAGTATTATTTTTGTCCATTTTGTCGACCGATCATTTTGGCAGTGCATAAGACCAAGAGATATGACACACCATATCCGAATCCGGCTATCGCATAAAAGGTCTGAACAAATTTCGTCCAAAAGGGCTGAAACGATAACACACGAGAACACGTGTGTGTAAGCAACGAGAGACTACACAAGGAAAACATTTGTGTGATAAAGACCTAACTGAATTCAAAAGCCACGTTATACCCTTTACAGACATAAAACCGTTGCCGCACAGAAAAGGATTTGCAGGTGTAAAGCTTTAACACAAATATTGCCTTTATATTAGAGCATAGCAAAGGTGGCGTAGACGTCTTCTCAATTCGTATACAAGATCTCTGCTAACTTAACTTGTGAGCAAGCTCCCGATTGTGTTATAGGGGAATAATATAACGAATATTAAACTTGATCGAGGTCTTTAAAGAGTTCCACTCCTAAATATTTATTTTGTTTACGGTGTTTATTTCTCCTTTGCGCGGGACCTCCTCCGATTTTTTTTCTCTTTTGACTCATTGAAGAACGCCGTCTGATTATTGACTTCATTAGGAGCCTAGGAAGCTTAGGCCCGATCGTCCCCACTACACCGGAGGAAATTAAAAACGCAACAATCACCGGACGTTTTATAGTTTTGTTTGAGGAAATGTCGGCCAGGGAAGTCACTTGGTTTTCCTGATCCTATCGTGTGGGAAAAGGTCCGTTTTAATGTTTTCCGTCCCGAAAACTCAAAGCCGGCGTTTTCAAATTCCTCCGGTTTGAAGAGCGTTTTCGGAGAGCTCCATTTTCGTGACGGATTACCCTCTTGACCGTAGGCTTAACCGTAGAAATAAAGCTGTATGCGTTTTCAAATTCCTCCGGCGTAGTGTGGACGGAGTCTGGAGCAAACCACGACGTCAATGAGCACCACCAAACAAAAGGTTACGTGAGCAAAACAAAGGCTGTACAAGTGTGTTCAATAAACCTTTGTACATTTCATAGCCATCCTCTGCAAAACAACGACGCAAAATTGAATGACCGCGAACGCGAACGATGAGTCGAATTGACAACTTTTCGTATTTCTATTTAGAATTGAATGCTGTCATTACATATTTAGCCTGAGCGAATTTTTAAGGTCGGCACACGCGAGGGAACTTAGTCCCTGTGACTAGTCCTTGCCTAGTCGCGGGGACAAGTCCCATCGTGCGAACTGGCCATTTTTGATTCAAAATCTAGTCGCAGGGACCAAACTTTGGTCCCTGCGACTAGCCCCACGAATTCAAACCAACTAGTTGCAGGGACTAGCCCCCCTCGTGTGTGCCGACCTTTAGAGCAATAGACATCCTGGACAAATTCAATTTTACAAGGCGTTGTTCTCGGCGTCTCCGCGTCGTCATTGTTAAGATGCCTATATTTGCATCTCGGATGCTGGAAGGTCGATACACTTGTTTGACGTGCGGTCTGTCATCCTAAGCGGCTGATTTGTGCTTTGCTCATGTTTTATCCCAGTCGAAGGCAGATGAGAGTATCGTGTAAAAACCGTTAAAAAAATCACATAAATCGCAGCTCCTTGCCAAGGTTCTTTTTAATTCAGCGATTAAGTTGTCGAGCGTTTCGGGTAGGAAGTTTTTCCCTCCTGCTGGAACAATCTCGTTTACGTTACTTCGCCGATGCAATACCTTTTCACCTTCCCCATTACTACACGGCAATCGTTTGCATCTTCTTCTTTAGTGTAACTGGTATAGCTTAAGGCTACACTTAAAGGCCATCATCAGCAATAAAGTCCTTGAACATGGCTCCAAACCAAGTAATTATTATAGTATTTCTCTTTCCATAGCTTCCAGCCCTCGAGGATTTCACTACTTAATTGACCTCAAATCTAAATATTGCGGAGACAATGATATCTGGTGGAATAACATTGAAAATTGTGATGCTTTAGGCGGCGAGGCATCGGAAGTTGTTTTCGCTCGTAGGCATTCGTAGACGGTAGACGTTGTCGACGAATTTGAACTACCCTTTCCCTGTTAGATGGCAAAGAGAACCTTAAACGAACGTCATTAATCAAGGCTTAATCTGGCTACTGTAACTCAAGATGCACTAGGTGAACGCGTATTTTAATATACGACTGGTTGTATAGCATAAATTACAAAGCCGTAACAGAACATAAGCGTGCATATAAAGAATGTTTGGCAAATTAGCATATTATAACCTTAAATTAAGATATGTCCGCCATTTTGAATAATCAAATCCAGCCGGTGTCAGATACACGTTTGTCCAGTTTGGCTATGGCGTCAGTGCTTTCTCATTGGCTCACAGCCAAGCCTTTTGTTCTTTCGCTTTATAAGTGTGACACCACCCGGATGGTCGGGCGGCCAGTTAACTCCACCGCAATATGCACATCTCTTTTAATCTCTCTTAAAACAATACCTCTTGGATATATAATGAAGTATTCTTCCTCCATCCCCCACATATACCTACACAGCCTACATCTCATTGATGCCCTACATATACCTGCACAGCCTACATCTCATTAATCCCCCACATATACCTACACATTAAACACCAAAAATGTTGATATATTTGCCAAGTTAGGAAAAAACTGGCAAAGTTATCGGTCAAGGTTAATTACAAAAGTACATGGAAATTTCTATGTACCTTATGGCTAAACATAAGAAAATGTACGTGGAAAGTTTCAAGTTCCATTACATATTTAAATAAGAAGATGACGTATCCGTATTTCGTCTGAGTAATCTGTTTACAGATATGCAGTCCCGAGATTCAGTCATTGAAAGCTAAAATCTATGCATGCAGCCGTAGAGATAAAAACAGTGAACGCGAACCGGCCAAACAAACAAACAGTACATTTTTAACAATGTAATGACCTATGTGGTTTTCATTCATTTCTAGGTCCATGGTTCTTCCAAAAGAGAGCTAATTTTTGTATGATGTCATATTTTTTTGAAATATCTTCACCTATCTGACGCGTTCTCACCGAGTAGTCTTCATTGTCCGTTTAATTTCAAAATATCGTGATGTCTTTAGCATCACTTCATCTAGAAAAACCTTATTAAATAAAATATTGTGGCAATACGTTTGAGCTTCTGCGAGGTTTGACGGGATGAATCGAACGTACTGGCTGAGAGTGAAGACCATTGAGCCTGGAAATATATTTCATGTATCCTCAAAGACATTTCCTCGNCCCAGCATACACCTACACATCCTACATCTCATTAATCCCCCGCATACACCTACACAGCGTACATCTCATTAAACCCCCATATATACCTACACTGCCTACCTGTCATTAATCCCCTACATATACCTACACAGTGTACATGTCATTAATCCCCCACATATACCTACACTGCCTTCATGTCATTAATCGCCTACATACACCCA